ATTATTATTATTATTATTATTATTATTATTATTATTATTATTATTATTATTATCACTGTGCACTGGAATGCTCTCAGTTCCTGCAGGTATGTATGTTTCCAGTGCATGGCTTTGTTTTGCAGGATGGATGAGGATGCTGGTCGCTCAGATACCAGTCGTCATGTCCTCATCGCCCTCTTTATTGCGTTTCTTTCGCTGCTTTTGTACTTCTTGAAGAGGAAGCTTACACGTGGCAATACAGTTCTGATTGTTGGCTTAAGCGATTCCGGCAAAACTCTCCTCTTCTCGAAATTGGTCAGTCGGAGTAAGTGGGCTTCTTTTGTGTTTATTTGCTTCTCAGTCAGTAAACGAAACTCTCTCTTTCTGTATTCATTGCCTGTGTGATGTGGAGGCCAATGGAACTAGTCTAAAGCGAAAATGATTTGTCGACTACCTATCCTATTCAGTATCAGTGTCTCATACAAAAAACTATCTTTTCTCTTTGGTTCAGCTTAGCACCCTAATTGGTTCCTTCGATCCATCGACACGTTCATACGCGGTACCAGAATCAACACACTTTTTTAACTGTATCACCCACTGGTGGAAATGTCTGTGGCTCCCTTTTTTGAGAGTTGCTTAGAAGCATCCCCGGTATGTAACTGTACCAGTTTTCCAGCGGAAATGGGAAAAAACTGGCAGTCCCTCTGAGTGTCGAACCCTGGAACAGTTGTGGTGTACCTCTAAGCATTTTTAAGGGTCATCTCGAATTGTTCTGCGTGCGCGAATGAGTACACTTCCTACAAGCATTTCCATTCGAGTTGCGTCTGAGGTGCAGTTCGGGTACTGATCAGCCACTGGTGCTGGATGAGGAGAGTTTGTTTTCCAGATCGCACTCCAGAAACCTATACTTCATTGATGGAGAATCGTTGTGACCTTGTCTCGGTTGGCAGCGAGAAATTGGTCACGCTCGTTGATTTTCCTGGTTCCGAACGGTTACGAAAGCAGTTGTACGACAATTACTTTCACAAGGTACTGCCTTATCATAATTTGATTGAATCTCGGCTATGGCAGTCTGCTGAACTGAGGTAATTGTAAAAACAGACTGGCGAAAAACTCCTTAGAAAAATCAGGCTTATGTAATTCGTTCTGGTTTCAGAATTTTATCTATCTCTGTCTCTTAATTCGCAAATTAGATTGAGTATTTCTGTCTTATTGCTTTCACTGTTAAGTATTTCTGCTTTATGTATTAAAATTTGGATTAACCAATTAATACTTAAAGTTTTGAAAAATGCAACTGCGAATAATGACGAAGAATTCAAAGTCTGTAGAATCAAAAAAATCCACTGCAGGGCCGCAACAGTTTAAAGGGGATTGTTTTTGTGATTGATAGCACGACGTTCAGTAAAACATCCCGTGATGTTGCTGCATTTCTCTATGATATATTGTATGAGTCGAGAATGAAAGTGCCGCTATTGATTGCTTGCAACAAGCAGGACTGTGCACTGGCAAAGAGCATACAGGTATTTCTACATTTGCTAATATTTCATTTTTATGCGTTTTTTGCAGCAATGCAATGCGAAAAACGCATATTGACGAGAGGTTGTC